CTTTTATTTCTGATCTGATCTTTATGATTTCTTTCCTTCTGCTAACTTTGGTTTTCTTTTGTTGTTGTTTTTCTTCTTCTTTCTCTAATTGCTTTAGGTGTAAGGTTAGGTTGTTTATTTGAGATGTTTCTTGAGGTAGGATTGTATTGCTATAAACTTCCCTCTTAGAAGTGCTTTTGCTGCATCCCATAGGTTTGGGGTCATCTGGTTATCACTGTCATTTGTTTCTAGGTATTTTTTGATTTCCTCATTGATTTCTTCAGTGATCTCTTGGTTACTTAGTATTGTTTAGCCTCCATGTGTTTGTATTTTTACAGTATTTTTCCTGTAATTGATATCTAGTCTCATAGCGCTATGGTCAGAAAAGATACTTGATACAATTTAAAGTTTCTTAAATTTACCAAGGCTTGATTTGTGACCCAAGATATGATCTATCCTGGAGAATGTTCCATGAGCACTTGATAAGAAAGTGTATTCTGTTGTTTTGGGATGGAATGTCCTTTAAAAATCAATTAAGTCCATCTGGTTTAATGTGTCACTTAAAGCTTGTGTTTCCTTATTTATTTTCATTTTGGATGATCTGTCCATTGGTGAAAGTGGGGTGTTAAAGTCCCCTACTTTGATTGTGTTACTGTCGATTTCCCCGTTTATGGCTGTTAGCGTTTGCCTTATGTATTGAGGTGCTCCTATGTTGGGTGCATAAATATTTACAATTGTTATATCTTCTTCTTGGATTGATCCCTTGATCATTAGGTAGTGTCCTTCTTTGTCTCTTGTAATAGTCTTTAAAGTCTATTTTGTCTGATATAAGAATTGCTACTCCAGCTTTCTTTTCATTTCCATTTGCATGGAATATCTTTTTCCATCCCCTCACTTTCAGTCTGTATGCATCCCTAGGTTTGCAGTTGGTCTCTTTTAGACAGCATATATTTGGGTCTTCTTCTTGTATCCATTCAGCCAGTCTATGTCTTTTGGTTGGAGCACTTAATCCATTTACATTTAAGGTAGTTATCAATATGTATGTTCCTATTACCATTTTCTTAATTGTTTTGGGTTTGTTATTTTAGGTCTTTTCCTTCTCTTGTGTTTCCTGCCTAGACAAGTTCCTGTAGCATGTGTTGTAAAGCTGGTTTGATGGTGCTGAATTCTCTTAGCTCTTGCTTGTCTGTAAAGTTTTAATTTCTCCATTGAATCTGAATGAGATCCTTGCTGGGTAGAGTAATCTTGGTTGTAGGTTTTCCCCTTTCATCACTTTAAATATATCCTGCCACTCCCTTCTGGCTTGCAGAGTTTCTGTTGAAAGATCAGCTGTTAACCTTATGGGGATTCCCTTGTATGTTATTTGTTGCTTTATTGTTGCTACTTTTACTATTTTTTCTTTGTATTTATTTTTTGATAGTTTGATCAATATGTGTTTCTCCTTGGATTTACCCTGTATGGGACTCTCTGTGCTTCCTGGACTTGATTGACTATTTCCTTTTCCATATTAGGGAAGTTTTCAACTATAATCTCTTCAAATATTTTCTCAGTCCCTTTCTTTTTCTCTTCTTCTTCTGGAATCGCAATAATTCGAATGTTGGTGCATTTAATGTTGTCCCCTAGGTCTCTGAGACTGTACTCAATTCTTTCCATTCTTTTTTCTTTATTCTGCTCTGAGGTAGTTATTTCCACTATTTCATCTTCCAGGTCACTTATCCGTTCTTCTGCCTCAGTTATTCTGCTATTGATTCCTTCTAGTGATTTTTTATTTTTTTTTTTTTTTTTTTTTTTTTTTTTTTTTTTTTTTTTTTTGCTCTTTAGTTCTTCTAGATCCTGTTAAATATTTCTTGTATTTTCTCCATTCTATTTCCAAGATTTTGGATCATGTTTACTATCATTACTCTGAATTCTTTTTCAGGTAGACTGCCTATTTCCTTTTCATTTGTTTGATCTGGTAGGTTTTTACCTTACTCCTTCATTTGCAGCACATTTCTCTGTCTTTTCATTTTGTTTAACTTACTGTGTTTGGGGTCTCCTTTACACCGGTTGTGGGTTCGTAGTTCCCACTGTTTTTGGTGTCTGCCCCCAGTGGGTGAGGTTGGTTCAGTGGGTTGTGTAGGTATCCTGGTGGAGCGGACTGGTGCCTGTGCTCTGGTGCGTGGGGCTGGATCTTGTCTTTCTGGTGGCAGGGCTGTGTCCGGTGGTGTGTTTTGGGGTGTCTGTGAACTTAGAATGATTTTAGACAGCTTCTCTGCTAATGGGTGGTGTTGTGTTCCTGTCTTACTAGTTATTTCACATGTGGTGTCCGGCACTGGATCTTGCTGGCCACTGGGTGGAGCTGGGTCTTAGCATTGAGACGGAGATCTCTGGGAGAGCTCTAGCCGATTGATATTACGTGGGGCCGGGAGGTCTCTGGTGGTCCAATGGCCTGAACTCAGCTCTCCCACCTCAGAAACTCAGGCCTGACACCAGACCGGAGCACCAAGACCCTGTCAGCCACATGGCTGTGTGTATGACTGTTGTCTCCTTTTCTTCACATCCCAGAGCTCTTTACTCAAAAAAGGTGACCGGGTTCAGCTTAGATACAGAAACACCTGGCATGCGGCCCAGAGGGCAGAAGTGGTTTCAGACAATTCATTTTTATGAGAGGTTTTCATGTATTTCAAGATAATTACCATGTCCTTCACAAGTCTATTCTCTTAGCTAAATACTGAGGCTGGCTTAATAAATTGTTATCTGACAAATGCCACTTTATTGATTCAAAAAATATAAGAAAATATATTTATGAGAAAAATTCACACTCGTTTCTATTGTAGATATTTGTCATGCATTTAGCAGAAATCCAAAATGTTAGACACAGGATATGGATAGTGGATGAGATACTGAACATAAAGTGTTAAATCACTAATTCTGTTTCTATTTCTCTTCTTCTGTGTCTAGCACCTACTCAGAAAAGACAGGAATGAAAGAAGACTGTGGAAAATATCCTATATTTAATCTAATAATTCTTTTCACTAAACAAGTCCTACAAATTCATTTAATAAGTGTTTAATAATATTTAGTAATATTTATTAATCACTTACTATATATCAGTCACTGCACATCTGACATCTAGAAAACCCTTGGTAAATGCCTGTTGGGTGAAGTAAAGGGATCACTTAATTGATATAACTCTGCAAAGTAAAAATTATCCCCATTTTCTAGATGAGGAAATTGGAATTTGGGGAGGTTGAGTGTGCCAAATTCTTACAATTAAGAAGGACAGAGCCCAGGTTCTTCTTTTCATTCGACTCAGTGCATGCCTGTCCTGGGCACTGGGGGATATGGGGTAGAAACATTACATGAGCTTCCTCCTTTGTTCTCACCTTCTGCATGTGAGGAGGAGAAGCCAGGGCTCAATTCAAGGAGGAGGGGAGCACTGAGCTGGTCCTGGGAAAACAGTGGCAAAGGAGGCACAGGAAGGGACACTGACAGGGAGGGACTTAAGAACCAAGATAAGGAGAGAGGAATGTGCTGGGTGCTCAGCAGGTACTGAGAGGACCACTCCGGCCAGACGAGGGAGGACTCATTTTGGGTGTGTGTGGAGGTTGGTTTGGAATTCCGTGTTAGTTTGACTATAGCTTTTGATGGAGCTGGACCATGGAGAGACTTGAATAACAAATTAAGAAGGCTTTTTACTATGGATTAGCCAAGGCCAAGAGCACTGACGGGCCATGTTTCCAGAGATGTAGATAAGCCTGTTCAGGGAAAATTCTTTCTTCCTGTTGACGTTAGACAAGTTCTGGCCTGGCCTTTCTTCACCACTGCAATGGTAAACTGGAGATTTATGGGATTGAGAATATAAAAAGAGACTAGCTCCTTTGACCTGCTTACTTGCCACTAGAACTGGGAAAACATCAGTTCTCCACATGGTGCCTAGCATATACTTTCCTTGGGAGTCCCTAGAAATGTTTAGCAACAGAATTCAAAGATGCTGGATCCTGTAGCCCAGACATTTAATTCTTAATCTTTCCTTCATCCTAAGTCCAACATGAGGGAGCCAGTGAATATTTTTAGCAGAATTGTCACTTGAAGATAAGCAGTATGAGGGAACGTTAATCTTGGCCTCATGGCTCAGCATGGCTCAGAGAGACCCAGGAGGAAGGGAGACCGAGTGGGAGACATTTCACTAGTTCTCACAAGTGGTGGGCAGGTTTTCCAGGAAATCTGAAAAATTCGTTCATCCCTTTCCTCATTCAGTTACTTGTTTATTCACTCAACAGATATGTAGAGAAAACCCACCCATGTACTAGGCGGTGAGTGGGTTAAAGCTCTGAAAACCAGGGGTGAACAAAAGAGACATAATTCCTGTACTCAAATAATTTACAGTGTCTTTTCTAAACTAATCATCCTAATGTTGTTATCCAGTATTTCAGTGTTTTAGGGTGATGGGATATTACAGAATTCAAGACATCCAGCAAAGGATGAAGATACTTGACTACATAGTGATCTCCCTGAACCTAGAGGCAATTTCTGCACCTAGTAGGAGTTTGACAAATTTCTACTAAAACATAAGAATCTAGAATTCATGTTTATAGGTATGTGCATCTGAACCTGAGACTTTTTACTGGGATTGGTATTGAAAGGAATCAAAAAAGAAAGTAGGGAGATATTTTTCTTCCTTCTTCTGGAGCAAAAACAATGTGGGATAGAGCAACCATAGGCCAAGTCCTCTCAGGAATACTGAGGAATACAAAGCACCGTGATAGCTCTTTCACCAAAAAACAAACAAACAAACAAAAAGTCACCCTTTAGGTTTAACCTGATTGCAAAGTCAAGCAAGCATGAGACTGGTTTCTTTTTTTTTTAATTTTTATTTTATATTGGAGTATAGTTGATTAGCAATGTTGTGTTAGTTTCAGGTGTACAGCAAAGTGATTCAGTTATACATATACATGTATCTATTCTTCTTCAAATTCTTTTCCCATTTAGGTTGTTACATAATATTGAGCAGAGTTGAGACTGGTATCTTTTTGTGCTAGGTGTGGTGATGTAACTGACTCAGACAAGAAGAAATGATCTTAAGAAGTTCACCACCAGGAGGATGGTAGTACAAGGTACACTTGCAGTAATCAGCTTATTTCTTCAGTTTACGCCTCCATCCTCATCATGTAATTGTACCAGTCCCTTCTCAAAATCTCGTGATATTGTTTGTGAGATAATTTAACATGTTGCTATGTAAACTTTCTGAGCCTCAGTTTCCCCATTTCTAACACTATGATATTTTTGAAGGGCACTGTAAGACTGAAATGATACCTCACAAGCAATCTGCCAAACATAGTACCTGGCACCTGACTGGAACCTAATACTTACCTCATACCATCACGTCTAGGAAAAGTAAAATACTTTTTTAAAAAGTCTGGGTTTTTTTTCCTCCTCACATTTTGTGAGAGAAGTTTGGCAAAAAACATAGGAAATAATTATTAACGTTTTCCTCAGTCAGGTTTGAAGTTCCTGAAATGACTCATCCCAGGATTGGTGGGAAGCTCAAAGGAGGTGGCTCAAAGGAGGTGGCGCATAGGAAGAAAGCCCCTTGTCAACTATTAAGTACCCTCCACACCTGAAGAGCCAGCTTAGGCCTGAGGGGCCTGGTGCCTGCCTTTGTACAGGAATGCCGGTGTCCCGAAGGCCAGCGTCACTGGGTGGAGGAGGCCCTCGTTATCCGGACGGGATGCCTGCTAATGAGAACCGCAAGCAGCCACGAAGAGGATTTCCACTGTACGGCCTTCTTCTGACTCCAATTTGTGCAGCCTACGCTGCTCTGCTTCGGGGAGCCCAGGCTCCAGAGGCCCTTAATAGCCAAAGTCACCCAGCGAAACTCTGCCCACCTCCAGCCAGCGTGGCTGACTGCCCCAGAGAACATAAATGACGATAATCCCTTCGCAAATGAGGAGAGACACTTCTCATTAACAACTTGGGGCGGACGACCCAGGGCTGAGCAGAAAAGCAGGATGCAGACAGGGCGGCCTTGCGGCTGCTGCTGCTCTCACCACTTCCTGGCCCCGTCACGGGGCGGCCTCGCGGAAGCTGTCTCCAGGGGCGCTTGCAGGAGGAGTAGAGGCAAATCCTTACAGAGCTTTCTGATACCAACTCCACCACGTGTGTTTTCTCGACTGTAGACCTGAGGCTACATTACAAACCTCCACTTAAATGTAGGCTCGGAGGAGAAGCCATCTCTGAATGCATTCATTTCCTCTTTTCCTTTCTCAAAAGAAAACCAAAAACCAAAACGCCACTTGTATTTATTCATTATTCCAACCATTATTACTCTTCTAGGGTAGAGATTGGTTCTCAAAGCTTAGTGTACATCAAAATCACCTGAAAACACTATAAACAACAGGGCCCCTACCTCCACTGCACCCTGCAAACCTATGGACATCAGGGGATCTGAATTTTAAGCAGTTTCCCAGGTGATTCTGATGTAGATGGTTCTTAGACCACACTTTGAAATACACTATTCTGAACACAGAAACTATTTCAGGGGGTGTTAAAACTGTAAGAGACTTCAAGGATAGCTAGAACAACCTCTTGCTCTACAAATGAGACAGCATCATGTCACAGATAAAAGCACAGACTCTACCAAACTGCCAGGTTAAATTCCTGGCTTGGCCTCTTACACGCAGTTATGATTTGGAGCAAGTTACTTTAATTCTCTGAGCTTCAATTTTCTCATCTATAAAATGGAGATAATATAAAATGGGGATAATTACATACCTCACAAGAGATTCTGGAGGATTAAAAAATTAATATAGGCAAAATATTGAGAAAGTGCCTGGCACATAGTAAACATTCAAAGGATATTATTTACATCATTCACAATTCAGAGAAACAGAACCACTTCAAGCGGTATAGAATGAGGAATACATTACGAAGATTAGGCCACACGCAATTGTGGGAGCTGATTATGTTGGCTATTTAAAGCTGTAGTTTCTGAATCTGGTGCTGGGTCTGAAGTCAGCAGGACTAGAAATGTAGAAGGAAAGATAGACATAAAGTAGAGATACCAAGAACAGACTAGAACCTGTTAAGAATTAGCTGGAACATCATCTGTCTCTCATCCCCTTCAATCCCTATGATGCTGTTGACCTACACGATGAGCTGGCACCCGGCATCACAGAGTAACACCTGTGTTTGGCCCAGGACTCAGGGAAGCTGAAGGCAGGGATCCGGCAGAAGCTGGAGCGGATGAAGGCCTGACTGTATCCCATACCAATCAAGTAAGCGGGCAGACCAGTGACAATGTGCATGAGTTCCAACAGTGCCTGCCTTATTGACCTTCAGAGTGGAAAAATTTAAAAAGCCCTCCTTTATGTCCCCCTTCCAAAACTCTCATGACCCTAACTTGAAACACTAACTTGTGGTCAACTCCAACTTGGAATCATATAGAGAGGGGAATTCCAACTGTAACTCGGAATTCTAACCCTAACTTGGAACCATATAGAGATGAGAATTCTATGATTTGTAGTTTCAACTTAGAGAAACTGATACAACACAAATCACATTATCAATTTATCTTACTACTCATCAGAAAACGGAAGACAGAGAAAGAAAGTAACTTAAGGTCACACAGAAAATCTGTAGGAGAAGACTGACAAGGGCCTGGGCCTATTCTTTTCTACTTCTGTCCTTCAGGCCTCCTGGTTACTGCAAAGATCTTAAGAGCGTGTCCATCTGCATGTCCTTTGGACCTTCAGACAGAAGGCTCACGGGGGTAATGGATCCAATTCAATAATATGTTTACTGAGGGCCTGCTAGGTGCCTGGTACTCTGTCCCTAGGTAGGGAGGAGTCCTTACCCTCAGACTGCTCACAGAGAAGACAACTGCATCAGTAAAGACAACAGAAGTCTGAAGAGACACATGCTTCAGGAGAGAAACAATGGTAGTGTTTTGGGATGGAGCTTGATGAAAAATGGGATCTCAAGATAACATCAGAGATTTTTGCTTAATATCCAAAGTTCAAAGTCTAGCTCCTACTTCTCCACTCTCTTATCCCTCAATACTCTGCCCTGGTGAAGCAGGACATATGGTTTGTTGGAACTGAGGGGCTTCCAGTATGCAGTGCTAAAACTAGAAAGTCTCTAGCAAACTGGGATGAGCTGGTCACCTTAAGGCCCAACAAAAGAGTGACTTACCCAAGGGAAACAACAAGTAAGTAGCAAAACCAGCTTTGGAATCAAGTATAGTACAATCTTCTCTTCGCTATTATGACCCTGTAACTCTAAGCTCAACAAGCCCAAGAACCTCTCATAAGCAATTAGCAAGCCAGTAAAAGGAATCAAGACTTTCCAGCTACCCTCAACTTTCCTCAGAACTTCCTGAACTTCTATTCCCGCTTGGATTCTGAAATCTTTTTAACTCTTGTCTGTTTTCCCCCAGTGTATTAAAGCCCATTGGACTTGGTTTGGTGTTAGGTCTCTGTGGATTTTACTTTGGCTTTTTCACTGACTTTGGCTTTGCTGTTGCTTTCCTGATTCTTCCCAAATAAGAAAACCTAGAGGAGGACACCCATACTCAAAGCACCCAGGACTGCCAAGACTGAAGGACCTTGAACAGAAAAGAAGGTAGTGGAGGCCATGTTTGGTTTCTGGTGCTGAGACTACCACTTAAAAAATTCTCCAGCTCTTTGGTTGAAAAGTTTGAAATAATCAGGGGTGCTTATCAAGACCTTTAGCTTTCACCATACAAACCTCATATCAGATGAATCACCTTCCGGATCTACCAACATGGTCTTTATTTGGCTTGCACAACTAAAATTAGCAGGCCATTCACAATCCATAATGGCTGGGGAATTATCTCATACACATGGGACAAAGGAGAGGGATCTGAAGAGGGGCCTCTTCCCTAAGTCTCATCCATGAGATTCTTCTCATTAAAGAGGCGCTCTCAAGCATCCAATTTGCCGCAATTATAGCAATCAAAAAAGCATTCAGCCTCCTTCCGCACCTGACAAGCCAGCTCATGCATTCTCTCCAACGGTGGTGGGATGGAAGCCAATGCAGCTCCCATCCCCCTGGTTCCAGCTATAGCCATCAATCCCACCCAACTCCCATCCTCACAGCTGGAGTTGGTTCACAGTCCAACAGACTCTGCCATGTTGACACTACTATGGTAGACCTGTGGCTGCCCCGACCCACCAGGGTTCATGGTTCTCCAGAGAAAGAGGCCAATTAGCCCTTGATGTTGGCTTATATATCTCTATACTCAAAGGCTGGAAGTGAACTTATTATAGGCAACCTCCTCCATTTTATAAGTTTCTAAGGGCTGATAAAGAAGTTCCCATTGTGATAACAGGTGCAGGTGTAGCGCCTTGGAGAAGCTCGGGCTCGTCTGATTGCTGCATTGTGCCAGCCTCCATGGCACTTGAATGGGAGCTTTGTGAGTATACAATCTCCCCAGATTGCAGGGACCGGCTGCTGCTGGTGGCGGAGTGCAGGTCTGTTGATTAAAGGCCCATTAACAAAGCGCAAATAACTCTCAACTTCCTCTTCTCACCTGCTTCTCTGTTTTAGTCTAATGGCTCCTGGGGGAGCTGAAAATGTTATTTAATTATTCCTAACCCCCACAATGCTGCTACAATGACTCCTTCTAGAGCATGCCATCCCCAGCAAGGCATCTGTAAACATACTTATGAACTGCTCCAGGCTTGCTAATAGATGTAAGAAGTCTGCAGCCACTCCAAACAGTCAGGCTGGTATTGAGTCATGTACACGGACCACCTCTGTGCTAGTCCCTTGAAACACTCTGGCTGCCCCATGCACGTTTCCGTCTATCTACCTTCAAGGCCAGGTGACCACAGCCCTTGGGTTATTGCTCACCATGTGTCTCTCAATCTCCACTGAGAGTCTTTGGAAAACAATATGCAAGTGTTTATTGTTGTTAAGTGTGGTCACTGAGCCCAGTGGGACATTCTCTCACCTTTTCTCAGTGTCTGTAAAGTGGGGATAATGGGGATAACCAGAGCTTCTTCAAAGGGTTGTTATGAGTCCCCAATTAGATAATGTCTGCAGAATATGTAATGCTCAATTGAGCTGGTGCTCAATTAAAGGTTGCTATTATTTCATTATTGTTTCTGTCATATCAACTGTTAGCTTTTTTAATAACTTTCTCCAGAATGTCTCCCAATCTGATAAGTTCTCCTAGAGCAGGGCACTTCTAGATTTTCCTATTTTCCATACAATTTACCAGGCAGCTAGAATGTGGCACGAGCACTTGTGTGGGAGTCAGAAGCCTCAGGCTGGAGCCCTGGCCCTGCCCATCCCTCTCCCTGGTTGTCTACCATTAGGTGTCCTTTTATCTCCTCTGTGCCCTCACTCTTCCTTCCCTCCTTAAATACCTTAAAAAAACACCCACCTCCTTGGCCTCACCTATTAAAATCCCACCCCTTCTTCCAGCTCAAACCAAATGCCCCACCTTCCAGAATTCCTCCTCTGGTTGTACCAGTCTACACTGGCCTCTTTGCCCAGACTTCTCGTCCCTTTGTCTTAGCACCACAAAGCTTAGTAACTAATTGCTTTTTATTGTTTTTTTTTTTTTTGCGGTACGCGGGCCTCTCACTGTTGTGGCCTCTCCCGTTGCGGAGCACAGGCTCCGGACACGCAGGCTCAGGGGCCATGGCTCATGGGCCCAGCCGCTCTGCGGCATGTGGGATCTTCCCGGACCGGGGCACGAACCCGCGTCCCCAGCATTGGCAGGCGGACTCTCAATCACTGCGCCACCAGGGAAGTCCCATAATTGCTTTTTAAAAGGCTCACTTTAATATAGAAAAAATACAATCTCTACCTTTTTGCAAAACCTTTTCCCCTACTCTTTTCTACATTTATACAGCTCTTTAGGGCAAAGATTGACAATAAGTGGCCCAGTGGCCACATCTGGTTTGCTTTCTCATTTTGTCTGGCCTAGAGATAAGAATGGATTTTGTATTTTAAATGGTTGAAAGAAACCAAAAGACAAATAATATTTCATGACATATGAAAATTATATGAGGTTTCAACTTCAGCATCCATAAATAAAGTTTTATCAGGACACAACCACACCCATTGTTATGCATTGTTTACAACTGCCTGCACACTACAATGACAGAATTGATTAGCTGCAACAGACACTGTAAGATCCATAAAGTCTGAATTATTTACTCTCTGGCCCTTCATAGAGAGTTTACTGACCCTTGCTTTAAAGTATAAAACCCCCTTCACATTTGCACATTCATTTGGTTCTTGTTATAGGCCTATTGTAACATCTCCATTTTCAGGAGCTCAGAAAAGTGAAGCCACTTGTCCAAGACATCACAGCTTTAAGATGGCAGAGCTGGTAGTCTCCAGCGCACTCTCCTGACCACACATAAACCTACATCACTCTTTAAGCCAGCCAACATGGAGGAAACTCTTTTGCCTTATTATCCATTCTCTATCACACGCCTCACTTAGTGTCTCCAAGGAGCTCCCTCCAGAAATCTGGGCATGAGGAACTGTGACCTTGCATCAGTGGCTCCCCAGTCTCTCTGAAATGGGGTGTAATTGTTAGCAAATGAAAGTTATCGATAACTGGTAAATGGCCTCTGCTCTTGGGTGGTGCTGGAGCTAACTGAGTCCACAAGGGCTGCATCCTGCCAGCCATAACTCCTTCCTTGGCTGACTCTGATATGGTTTAATCAGGGAGAGGTCATGTGTTGCTGGTGACCACTGATTACCAGCAAAATGTACATATGAGCAGCAGCTAGTCTTTGGGAAGCACAGATGGAGATTCTGGCCCCCATCCAAGCCATTTTCAGGGCCTGCCCCACCCCCTTTCCTAATCTGCTGTCTTCCCCCTTCTCCCGAGCTCCTGTGGTGGGTGCTCACTGGCTGTTCTTAGTTTCTCCCTCATTGGCCCTTGGTTTTAGACACAATCTTTCCCTAGGGATCTATCTCATCTTTTCCAGTGACTTAGGGTGAGTTACTTACCCTCACTGAGCTCAGTGTCCTCATATACTGAATTGGGATGATACCTCTACTTCCAGCATAGTTGATATGATCACACGTGATAATTTATGCAAAGTGCACTTAGCAGAGTGCCTGGCATATCAGCTGGACTCAGTAAGTGATAGTACAGTGGTACTACTGTGTCTTTGTTTTGAGTCTCAATAAAGGTAGGTACTAAACCTCATCCCAGGAGTCTATTTCTTCTCCCAGGAGATTTATAACTTGGGCAAAACCTTCCCTCTATCCTTGCCCTCCAGTTCCCAAGTTCCCTGACATTTCCTCATAGCTCACTTGTCAGGAAAGCCAGGAATGTCTGTTGATATGACTTCTGCCCTGGAGAGGGGGTGCTGGTTCTGGACCAGAGCTGAGGCCCCTCAAGGGTAATGCCAGGTGCCCTCCATGGTCCCTCCATGGGGCCACAAACCAGGGTTCCCAGGTTCTCACTAGAAAGTACTTTCCTAAGGCTGCATGGAGTGCCCGCGAATGGAGCTGAAACCACCTACTACTACTTCTCTGGAGACTCCCATTTGGGTAATACGTAGTATATTAGAGTGCTCCAGAGAAACAGAACTAATAGGATATGTATACATAGAAAAACAGATTTATTATAAGGAATTGGCTCACACAATCATGAAGGCTGGTGAGTCTGAAAAATAGTGTGGACTAACAGGTTTAAGACCTAGGAGACCTGATAGTGCAATTCCAGTCCAAAGGCTGGCAGCCTGGAGACCCAGACAGGCTGATGGTGCAGATGAAGTCTGAAGGCAGTCTGCTAGAGAATTCCTTCTTGCTCCAGGAGACTAGTTTTTTGGTTCTATTCAGGCCTTTCAGCTGATTGGGTGAGACCCACCCACATTATGGAGGGTAATCTGCTTATTCAAAGTTCACTGATTGAATGTTAATCCCATCAAAAAAACCCTTCCAAATTAACATAAAATTAACCACCACAGACAGCATGTATAAATACTGTATTATCTTTCTCTGACAATTCCAATTTTGTCTGACATTCTAAACTAGTGTATTTTAGGAGGTAAAGCAGTTGGAGAGCCACATGATGTTTCTCTTTCCAGAGTGGTTGAATAATAGTAATATGCCCTCTTGGGGGGAGTGGTGTAAAATAGTCTCAACTGTATAGAGCATTTTTCAGTCCATACTCTCACCGGTTTCTCACAGAGGACAAGTCAGCTAGTCCAAAGCACTCATTTTTCAGATAAGGAAACTAAGACCTGGATGGGAGAAGACGCTTGGCCAAGGTAATCCCACATGATAAAGTTGTTGGGAAACTAGGACAGCTGAGCCCAGAGCCCAGCCCAAGGTTTCCCCACTTCTTACTTAACGTTTGTATTAACTGGCATGTAATGAAACTAAAATTCAAGCAGCTTCTTTGAGTAGGTTTGGGATTCTTTTTTTTTTTTACATCTTTATTGGAGTATAATTGCTTTA